AAGCCCTAAACATATTTTTAAACAGATGATTTAAAGTCTTTGTCTATAAAGTCTAAGGCCTGAGTTTCCTCAGGGACAGTTTCTACTGATTGTGTCTTTCCCTGTGTATATGCCATTCTTTACATGCCTCATAATCTTTTGTTGAAAACAAGATTCAGCCATTTTTCTTGAATAAATGTTCCCTGGATTGCTGTAAGCCTTTGGTTAATTTCCAGAGTTCTGAAAAAGTTGACTCTGACAATTTTTGCCAGTTTTCTCATTTCTTTTACAGAGGAATACCTTTTAAGAACTCCTTATTTCACCATTCCCGAGGAATCTATATCTCATATGGCAGTTAGAAAGAGGTTTTCATCCCTCTAAGCAATTTTTTGAAGAATATGGGTAAAAGAACTCTGATACTTAAACACTCTGTACTTGATCTTAAGCCCCAAATAGTGTTTTAAATGCCACACTTCTCTAAATTTTTTTAAAAATCTGATTATTTACAAGACACAGCAACGTTTATTAAACACATAATTTTATAATTCCAGCATCTAGAAAAAAAATTGGAATAACATTCCAAAATAACCAAAATGAGGTATTATACACTTTGTTTTACCTTTTCTCGCGTAAAAGTATCCTGGCTCTTGCTCTGTGGTAATAGGTTTACAGCAACAGTTTGATCAGGGTACACGGGCTATGTTTAAAGCTGCATTGTATGACACTGAATGGACTGCATATGTAGCAATCCTTTTCTGATGTACAGTTGGTGGTTTCCCTTTTTTTTTTTTTGCTATAAAAATGCTGATCCAAACAGCCTAGTATGCTTGTGTGCTTGTCCCATTATACCTTAGGTTACATTTCTAGAACTGAAATTGCCATGTCAAATGCCTTGTCAAATGCCTTTTTTTTTTCTAAGTTTTAGTTTTAATTTTCTCTGTATCCTCTGCCATTTAATGCCCTGCCCTGATATGGAGCACATTTTCCTATCTCTTTGGATGCAGATGCTAATACTCAGTGATGTCACTGCCATCATTTAATAGATTCTCATGCTGTGCATCACGCAATGCTCCTTCACCACCTGAAGGGGGAACTCAGAGTCAAAGGTAAGGAAAGACTGTATTTAAAACTTCTGAAAAGCAGGAATCTAAGACAGTCCCCTATTCAAATTTCCTTTTCATGGAACTCCACAGACCTTTGCTTTTACCCATATGGAGCCACATAAGCATTAGACAACAGGGGAGAGGTCAGCCTGCATTAATAATTTTCAGCCAGGTCCCACTCACCAGTCACAAGCTTCCTAAGGCCACACCCAGTGACCAAGACAGGAATGCAAGTCCAGATTTGTTTATCATCTAAAATCCAAATCTCTGGGACTTCCCTGGTGGCACAGTGGTTAAGAATCCGCCTGCCAATGCAGGGGACACGGGTTCGAGCCCTGGTCCGGGAAGATCGCACATGCCGCGGAGCAACTACGCCTGTGCGCCACAACTACCGAGCCTGTGCTCTACAGCCCGCGAGCGACAACTACTGAGCCCATGTGCCACAACTACTGAAGCCTGTGCGCCTACAGCCCGTGCTCCGCAACAAGAGAAGCCACCGCAAGGAGAAGCCTGCGCACTGCAACGAAGAGTAGCCCCCGCTCGCTGCAACTAGAGAAAGCCCACGCACAGCAATGAAGACCCAACGCAGCCAAAAATAAATAAATAAATAATAAATTTAGGGCTTCCCTGGTGGCGCAGTGGTTGATAATCTGCCTGCCAATGCAGGGGACACGGGTTCGAGCCCTGGTCTGGGAAGATCCCACGTGCCACGGAGCAACTAGGCCCGTGAGCCACAACTACGGAGCCTGTGCGTCTGGCGCCTGTGCTCTGCAACAAGAAAGGCCGCGACAGTAAGAGGCCTGCGCACCACGATGAAGAGTGGCCCCCGCTCGCCGCAACTAGAGAAAGCCCTCGCACAGTAACGAAGACCCAACGCAGCCAAAAATAAATAAATAAATAAATTTTTAAAAATAAAGTTTTAAAAAATCACTTTAAAAAAATAAAATAAATAAAATAATATCCAAATCTCTAACAAGAGTTTGATCACAATGTCCCTCCAAAGAGACTTGTAGCTCTCCACTGGGAGGTTAGGGAGAGGCCAGGGTTCTCACCATTTCCAGGGGGATGAACTAAAGAATACGAAAAGGCAGGCATGGGTTTCGGGTGCCAGAATTTCTTAGTAACCAAGCCTGACCAGAAACCAAGAACCCTTAAGTACCAGACTCCCTTTCTCTGCATTTGATAAGATGTAAGGTATAGGGAGGAAACGCCAGACACAGAAGACTGGGACTCAAATTCCCACACTGCTGTGTCACTGGCATGATTTTTTTTTAATTAATTAATTAATTAATTTTTGGCTGCATTGGGTCTTCATTGCTGCGCGCAGGCTTTTCTCTAGTTGTGGAGAGCAGGGGCTACTCTTTGTTGCAGTGCACAGGCTTCTCATTGCAGTGACTTCTCTTAGTTGTGGAGTATGGGCTCCAGGCACGCAGGCTTCAGTAGTTGTGTCACGAGGACTCAGTAGTTGTGGCAAACAGGCTCAGCTGCTCTGCAGCATGTGGAATCTTCCCAGATCAGGGTTTGAACCCATGTCCCCTGCACTGGCAGGTGGATTCTTAACCACTGTGCCACCTGGAAAGTCCCACTGGCAAGATTTTAAAACTAGTCCTTGATCAAAGGTTTGGAAGATATGCAGAATCTAAATTCCACCTATTTTGTATTTTAATTCCACCTATTTTGTGGCCATAGCGCACAGAAATGAAGGCTTAAGTAGATTAATTGAATCCAGTCACACAGCGTAGCAGCCTGGGTATAGAAGTGCAGAATTCCATGAGAAGAGAAGGATTAGGCATGCCTCAATCTAGGGCACATGGGCTATGAAACCGTCCCCAATTGGGGGCAAAATGGCAATGACTCGGGGCTCTGCCTAGCAGTTGGATTCAAAGACTAAGACCCAGTTTCACCCTGGGCAGCAATCTCTTGAATTATAAAAAAAAAAAGTGTTATCCAGTTGAGAAAGAAACTCCAAATGTCACTTAGGAAAGTGATTTACTACAGTTTGAGATCATATCATTATTTCCTTATTAGGCAAGCTTCTTTAACTCCAGGAAGACGAAATTTAAGCATATAAATATGCCTAAGAAAATAAAAACCATAATATTTATAATTTTGTGTTAAGAAATCTGTGTGTATCTGTTACTTTATGTACTTCACTGTTCAAGGGAATTTGGTCTGTTCAGAGTAACGAGTCAGTCTCAAGATTCCAATTAAAATATGTAACTGAGTAATTGGTTTAAACTTAGGATTTTAACTCGGAATTTTACTAAGTTTAAAATCAGTATTGGGGCTTCCCTAGTGTCGCAGTGGTTAAGAATCTGCCTGCCAATGCAGGGGACACGGATTCGAGCCCTGGTCCGGGAGGATGCCACATGCCGCGGAGCAACAAAGCCCATGCGCCATAACTACTGAGCCCGCATGCCACAACTACTGAGGCCCCTGTGACTAGAGCCTGTGCTCTGCAACAAGAGAAGCCACTGCAATAAGGAGCCCGCACACTGCAACAAAGAGCAGCCACTGCTCACCACAACTAGAGAAAGCCTGCGCACAGCAACAAAGACTCAACACAGCCAAAAATAAATAAATAAAATAAAATAAATAAAACATTTTTTAAAAAAAGATGAAGTTTTAAAAAACTAATATAAAATAAAATAAAATCAGTATTGGCAGATGACAAATAAGCACATGAAAAGATGCTCAACATCATTAGCTACCAGGGAAATTCAAATTGAAACCACCATGAGATGCCACTACATACCTTTCAGAATGGCTAAAATGAAAAAGACTGACCGTCTCCATTGTTGGTAAGGGTGTGGAGGGACCAGAACCCTCATCTGCTGCTGGTGGGAATGTAAAATGATATATCCACTTTGGAAAATGGTCGGGCAGTTTAAGTTAAACATATACCTACCATATGATCCAGCCACTCTGCTCCTACACATTTGCCAAGATAAAAGGAGATATATGTCCATACAACGACTTGTACAGAGGTTCACAGCAGCTTTATTTAGAATCACCAAAAACTGGAAACTAAAATGACCAACAGGTGAAGAGATAAACAAATTGTGGAATATCCACTAATGGAATATTACTCAGCAATAAAAAGAACTATTCATACATGCAACATAGACAAACCTCAAAATAATTATGCTGAGTGAATGAAGCCAGACAAAAAAGGAGTACATACTATATGATTCCACTTAGGTAAAATTCTAGAAAATGCAAATTAATCTATAGTAACAGAAAGCAGTTCAGTGGTTACTTGGAGATGGTAAAGGCAGAGAGGGGTGGGAGGCAGGGATTACCAAGGGGCACAAGGACACTTTTGGATAATCACTATCTTAATTGTGGTCATGGTTTCACAAGTGCATGCATATTTCAAAATATAAATTGTACACTTTAAATATGTGCAATTTATTATGTCAAAAACACCTCAGTAAAGCTGTGTGAAAAAATAAGATAAAACAGTATAGGAATGTTTAAGAAAATTTAAGAGTCAGTTTAATTTATTAGTTAAACAGGAATATTTAAGTATTAAAGATTTGGTAATCAGACAATTTCAAGTATTATTAAAGGAAGTTGAATGTAATTCATAAACTCAATTTAAAATTTTCAAATGAGTTAAGATTGCAAATGGATCAAGTATTAACCCAAAGACCCCTTAAAGTGATTATTAAAATTTTCTAGAATCATAAGTAGAACAGAAAGATTTGTAGGCTACACTTAAAAGCTAAATGTAAAAGACTGGCCCTTAAAGGAAGAATGAGATTTTTGAGTTTGTAACTTGAACAAACTGAAAATCAATTTGTACAATCAAAGTAACTTCTGAATAATCTTTGCATTACACAAAAACCCGGGGGCGGGGGGGATGATTAAAAAATCTCACTCAAGCATGCTACTCACCAGTCACCCAAAACTCACCAAGTCACTTGGTCTCACCGAACTTCAGTTTCCTCATTCACGAGAGGAATGTTTTCCAGAATAATCCACTTATTATAAATGATTTAATATTAATCATTTTCATATTGATAAACAGCACATTAGTAAAAGCACTGGGAAAAGCATACAGCGATGGGCAAATAGAAAAGATCAGCAGCATGATATCACTCTATAGTAACTGCAGCCTTTCCCAGATCCTGGGCTGACCAGTGACAGATATGCGAAAGGTGACACACGTATCCTCAGAGACTAAGCATGACTCAGCACAGCCAGATCATGGAATTTTCCCGAGGCCTCCCGAGAGGAGCTGCCACATGTGGAGTCTGGCCCACAGCTGGTGGAAATGTACCTAGAGCTGCCTTGGATATCCGATATCCCAGCACCACCGCCAAACGCCCCCTGCCCCACAGGCAAATCAGGGTAAGGAGGTGAGGAAGAGCAGCAATGAGGGGGTGTTGAGATGACCCAGGGTTATGCCTTCTGGAATAATACTTAAAAAAAAAAAGCCCACATCTACCTCCCTCCAGGATCACCAAGGCGACCAAAAGGAGGAGGACAGGGGAAGGCGAGAACCTTCAATGGCAGAGTCTTAGTTACAGTAACTAAGCAAAGCTCCATGGACTCAGGAGGGAAGTAGGGACTGAAAAGCCAAACAAGCTTTAACAAATTAGATGACCTGGCAGAAGAAGGCCCTTCCTGGCGACTAATTTTCCCTTCCTACTGATGGATTTGGGGAAGACATGCAAGAAAAGATGATACTCTGGAAAAAAAAAAAAAAAAAAAGGAGGGGTGTCAGAATCTTGGATTCTGCTAATTAGCCTTCTCTGGGCCCCAATTTCTCAGCTCCGTAAGCTGAGAAATTGGGACTGTCACCAAACTGCCTCTCTTCTCCTCACAGGGATGCCAGAAAGAGCAACAACATTCAACTCTATCAGCTAAGATGGAAGACCGACAGCAAGCAGAGAGAACAGTGGGAAGTTTGTGGAGGGTGGAGTCCGTCACAGGTCCGGAGGCATTTCCACTCATACCACCTGCCTTTACACTCCGCCCACTTTTCCAAGCAAAAACTCCATCTCAGAGTGGAAAACGGCCACTCCTGGCCCAAGACCTAGGACACGTGAGGACTGTGGAAAAATCTCAGGACGGAGAACAGCTTATGGGTTCTGAAGGATCATATGAAAAAAGTCCCCGGACAAAGGAATCTCCACACTGAGCACTGAACCTGAGCTCTGGGCAAAGCTGCCCCTGAGCCACTAAGTTCCCAGGGCACCTGACTGTGAACCAGGGGGTAGCGGCTGGCCTGCCTCTGGACGAAGGGAAGAGCATACCAGTGTCTGAAATGCAGGCGGGATGCTACACAGAGCCAGGACCGTGCCCGGTTAGGGCCCTCTCACAGACCACCAGGTGGACCCCGCACCCGAGGGCCTTGGAATTTAGGCTGCGGAGATGCACCGGGATCAATGCAATCGGTGGAGTTTCCCATGTGAGGGGAAACCTTAAGAGCAGGAGGTTATACAGGGCCGTGCTGCCACACAGAGCACTATGTGGGGGGAAGGAGGGGCAAGTCCACCTTCACCCCCTCATCGTTGTCTGGACACAATCAAGTGCTTTTACAGCCAGCTGACAGAGCCACCTCCTGTGCCCAGCTGCCCGCTCTCCACATGGACTCAAGGGCTCTTCTCAGAGGCTGCCCAGCCCTACAGATGCTTCCTTCCTGTGGTCCTGAGGAGCCTCGCCACTCTCCCCCACCACCAGGCATCCCAAGCCACACCCTTCCAGAAGCAGGGCCTCCTGCTGAGGCTGGCCAGCAGCCAACTGGGGCCAGCAGGGAGCCAGACATCACTTTCCTGTGAAAACCAAGAAAACCAAGAGAGTCTGGAACAGACAAAGCCTGCATATATTTTCCAAAACTCAGAGCTTGGCCTTTTTTATTTATTGAGCTTGATCACTGATGTGCGAGGACTGCTAACACCTACAGCTGCTGCTCCCACAGGCATCCCACTGACCTGGACCCAGGCACAGGACTTACCCTCAAGTGTATTGTCAGCTCTCAGGAGGCAGGGGTTATCTAAATAAAAGAAAAAGAAAGTGTTACCCTCATTTCTCTCCCAGCACTCCCCAGAGAAGCCAGGCATAGCAGGAACACAGACTTAAAACCCAGGGAAGAACTGCTGCTTTGCCTTCCCCTGATCTCAAGGGTATCTGGGGGGCCACCAGGACAGCACGGGGCTGAGAGCAACCCAGCTCTGTCGTCCGACTACCTGGGCTCTATTCTTGCTGCTTTGCCACCCACTCCCAGAACCACTCAAAGCTTGTTTCCTCATATGTGAAATGGGAGTAACACCACCAGGGAGGAAGGCTCCCGAGGAGGTACACACTCAAAGCACTGGCACCGTGCCTGGTATAGAGGACGCGCTCAGACGGTTGGCCAACGTGCCTAATAAGAAGCATTTAAGTAAAACCTTTTTCTGGCACCCACTACACAAGAACAAGTTCTAGAAACTTTTCTTGTTTGATCTGAAGTGCCTGGTCTTCCTGCCCATTCCCATCCAACCTCAGGCCAATTTTCGAGCCACCTCCAATCCTTCAGGAGCTAACTCACCTCCGGATTCTCTGAGCCTGGTTCCTGTCTCACTCTGCAACTGGACACAAATGAAGAAGCTGATGTGTTTCCTATTTCGCCAGCTATGTCCTCAGATCCCTTCCTGCAGAGACCACCACCCCACACACAAAGAGCACACCTGTGTTTGGACCCATGGGAGCCCAGTTGGTGGTGCGTGACCACTTTCTAGAGTTTACAGACTGCTTGTTTTTGAAAGGCCACACCTGTCCGTTAGCTTTAGCCACTGGTCAGTAAAGAGCAAAATGGAGACACAGGCCAGCAAACCATCAAATGAACTAAGTCCATGTTCCAAGAAAACGAGTTGCCTTGGTAGATTATGTCAAGGCTGAAAATGAATGTTTGGGGCATTCAATTCAATAAAATACGTCTTGAGCACATACCCTGCATAGGGCAGGGTTGTTGGGGGCTAGCTAGTAGAGGTAAGAACAGGATAGTACGTGAGAGGGACCCGAGCGTGTACTCTGAGCCTGACAGCTTGGGGAGGACCCTAGCCGTGCCCTTTCCTAGCTGTGTGACTCTGAGCGAGTTATTTCACTCACCGTTCCACATCTGTAAACAAGGAGCTAACTGTACTTTTGTTGTAGGGTTGTTGTGATAATCAAATAATACATAAAAGGGGCCTAGCAAGGTCCCTGCCACCACACAGTATGAGCTCAACAAAGGATGACTTTTATTATTAATAACAATCAATCATTATTTATCATCATTATTATTAAAAGAGAGAACCCACGTCCAGCTCAATAGATTCAGCAAGGCTTATTGCAGGAAAGCCTGAAGAGTAATTTCGACAGGACAAGAGAAGAGGAAAAGTCCTGCAGAGTCAAGATCGTCAGGAACAAGATCAGCAGAAGGACACAAAGAAGTGAGTTTCGGGGCAACAGCCAGTAGTCTCAGATGAGGCTGAGGCAGAAGAGGGTACCTGTGGGGTCAAAGAGAAGAAAAAGCCCAACAGGTGGGAGCCTATCTTTTCCTTCAGTAAGGAAGAGGAAACGGTTTCCTCTTCGTCACTGTCCCAGCTTCCACCGTCAGGCCCTACTCCTTTGACAGTTTGGCAAAGTATCCACAGCTGAGACAAGAGGCAGCTAAGACACAGAGGGAAGGGAAGAGATGGTCAGGCGGGCCCAGGTGAGGCTTCAGAGAGAGCAGGCAAATGCCCCACTTCTGTGAACGATGTGTCTGGAAGAGAAACTTGCCCCCAAACAGGCACACCTTCTGGATGGGGGGAGGAGGGCCCTGTTCAGAAGACAGTAAGATGCTACTGGGAGGGAGCCAGAGAGAAGGCCCACACTAGTCCTCACGGGGAATGTTTACCGGCCTGAGGTCTCCAGCTCACGCGGGAAAGTGCCAGGGAGAGATCTGGACAGTCTGGGGCCTGCCCAGGCCTTCCGCCCAGATCCTCTGACATACGACAATCATCCCTGCAGCCCCTGAATGTGCTGTGACTTGGAATGAGACCTGGATCTGCAGTCCTGCTGTGCCCCAGTGCCCCACGCCTCTGCAAACAGTGTCAGGACAGGGACCTAGCACAGCACCCAGGGCGCTGGAAGTGAGACAAAGGGAAAACAAGGCAGAGGATTTAAAAAAAAAAAAAAAAAGACAAGCCACCTGTACTAGCACCTCAAAGGCAGGAGGGATCCACCGGGGTTACAACATCAAGGCAAATCCCTCTGAGGGATGATCTTGGAGGTGAGAACTGGCACAGAGAGAGTCAGTCAAGCTGGGACAGGCTTCAGTAGAGAAAGATAAAGAGATAAGGAGCAGAGGGGACTTTGGGGTAAACTGCAGAAATTCTGAATGGCAGCCTAATTCAATTCAACCAATAGATACTGCGCAGCTATAGTGAACAAAGCCCTTTTCTGCAGGGCAGAGCAGCCACTAAGAAACTTCTCACAAGGACACGTGCTCATAGGTTGCTTACTAGAACACAAACAGAACAGACTGTAGCTCAGGCCCGCTGCTGCTGGGCCCTCAGAGCCCAACCAAGCACCCTGGCGCCTCTGGACCCAATCTCACTTCTGACTCACCCGCACCTTAGCAAGTGCCCTCACCTTATAACGCCTCCTGCAGAGGCCTCTGCGAGATGACCAACCAAACTTCTCACACTCAACTGGGAAGTGCTATCTCCATGTTCTCCTTCCACCTTCCTCAGCCTTCCTCTGCCAGGGTCCAGTTACTTAAAACTCACCTGTACTTCATCATAAAACCTTGGCTGCTCATATCCAATCACTGCTTCTTCACTGCTGGCCGCCGTGGAATCAAGAGGCTCACAACTCAGGCTTCCCTGGTGGCGCAATGGTTAAGAATCCGCCTGCTAATGTAGGGCACACAGGTTCGAGCCCTGGTCCGGGAAGATCCCACATGCCACGGAGCAGCTAAGTCTGTGTGGCACAACTATTGAGCCTGCGCTACAGAGCCCGTGAGCCACAACTACTGAGGCCTGTGCACCACAACAAGAGAAGCCACCGCCATGAGAAGCCCGCGCACCGCAACGAAGAGTCGCCCACGCTCACCGCAACTAGAGGAAGCCCACACGCAGCAACGAAGACCCAACGCAGCCAAAAATAAAATAAATAAATTTATAGAAAAAGAAAAAAAGGAGGCTCCCAACTCGCCTCCTCCACCAAGCCTTCCCTAATCCATGCCCATCCAGCCCCAGCCAGTCCAGTTCTCCTGTCCCTGGCCTTGGTGTGAGTTTTGCCCTGATTTGCCAGCCTCTACGGAACTTCCTCTTCCACGTCCTCCTCTGGCCATACCTCGCCCACACCAGCTCTCTACAAACATCTGCGGCATGCCGACTTTCTGCTTACGCTGTTTCTTTTTCTCTCCCCCAACCAGTTTGTTGGCAGTTCTGGGGCACCTCGTCTCCCACGTCTTCGCGCAGCACCCAGTCTAGGGCTCTGAACATGACAGGTGTGCAAAGAATGTGATGAAGAGTTCAAGGGTTTAGATGAAGAGCAGGCAGGCAGAAAAGCTGTAGCTGCGAGGGCATCGAAATGCTGAGCACATCCACTCCAGTATGTGCATCACAGGCGGGGGGGGGGGGGGGGGGGGGGGAGGCCAAGGCTGCTGGTAGCAGTGGGTAAGGGAGCAACGGGAAGGCAAAGACTTCTTGGTAAAGACTGGGGAGGCCCTGGTTATGATCTGACAAATAGCGGCACCTCTCTGAGCCTCAGTTTTCTCAGCTACAGAACGGGGATCCCTGGCCTCCTCTTTATCACAAAATGAATTTTAATCAGATTTTTAAGAATTTCAAAGCTCCCAGGGACCTAGGGACCTGACCTAGCCCCGGCACTTGTGAAATGAGGAAAAGGATATCCAGAGGTGAAACAACTCACTCCAAGTACACAAAGCAAGATGTGCTGGGAGGAACGTGTATGGCAGGTCCTCAAAGCCAGGGCAAGCCAGGGCTTCAGACTGCGTGCCCAGGAGGGCATTTCCCGGAGGGCCAGCTGCTACTCACTGCACTTTGTAAACTGCTAAAAGCTGTAGAAATAACGGGCTGAGCTCAGCCCCACCTCCTCCTAATCACTGCTTCTGGGCGCCCGAAGCTTCCTCTTCTGAAACTAAGTGGAATTACAAGAATGCCCCCCAGGGTTACCAGGTGGATCCTATGGGAAGCAGAGTGCAGGCACTCGTAACACGGAAAACCCTCGCCTTACACGCCATGGCTTTCTTCAGAGCTGAGCAACTTCCAGTATGGTGGGGGACACTTGGGCTCCGGATTCTGACAGACTTGGGTTCGAGCCCTCAGGGACCTCGCGCGAGGCATTTGAGGGCTCCGTGCCCTCAGGTTCTCCATCTGCAAAATGGGCCCGAGAGCAGGAATAAGGCCGCCGGCGGCCCCCGGGGAGCCGAGTGGACGAGGCCGGGCTGCGCCAACGCGGGAAGGATGCTCGCGGGGCGGCGGGCCCGGAGAACTGGGGCGACGGGTCCCCAGGGCGGGGGTGGGGGGCGGGCTCGCGCAAACAGTCCCTCGCGGGAGGGGGAGGGGAGGGGAGGGGCGGCGCGCGGCGCGGGGCGGCGCGCGGCGCGGCGCGTCGCGCACCGCCCGCTGCCGTCTCCTCCAGCCGTCACTCGTGGAGCTGGCGCCGCCTTGGCGCGCGCGACCCTTACATAAGCGTCCCCCGCGGCAGCGCCGGCGCACGCCCACCCGCTCCGACCCGCTGCGGGAAGAGGAAAATGCACAGCGCCGCCGGCACTCACCTCCTCGGTGTTGCCGCAAGTTGCCGCCACCGCCTCTACCGCCGCTGCCTCCACTGACAGGGAACAGCTGCGGTCTCCGCGCAACCGAACTTGCTGCGGTCCCAGTCCCGCCTTGCGGACTTCCTATTGGCTCAGACAGCCCAACCCCTCCTGTTACTGGACAGCCTCCTCTGTCATTCACC